ATGGCGGTCTCAGCAACGGGAACAGAGCAACAAGCAAAAGAAATCTCCTCCCCTGAAATCAAATCCGACCCCTTCCAAAACGGCCAGATACGACTCCCTGATAGGATTTACACAGCGATGACGTGCGCAGTTTGTAAATGTTGTCAACGCTGACGTCACCACGATTCGATTTGTATTTGTAAATTCTTCCACATGCGCAGGTCGCCTCTGAGCCATACGCTTTTGGTGCCTTCTTCCTTGTCAGCCGAATATTCTCATCCACGAGTAGACCCATTCACCTTACATATTTTACCCCCCCCCCCCCCACGGAAGGCTGACGATACAGACGGATCTATTTCGTGAGCCCACAAGTCGTCTGTTTTCGTATCGCGCAACATGGCAGCTCGATTCCCATTGCCCTTCGTAGAGGTCCTGGACAGTGTCGCTCATCCTCATTCTTCTTGACGGTCTCCGTGCCGTACAGCAGCGCAGCCGTTGAGATTTAGCGGAATAAGACACCTTCAGTCGAGATTCTCTTGGAGTTGGATGACGCTGCTCTCCTAGCCGTTAGGAAATTTTTCAGGGAATTTCCCTAAACTAAGCCAAGCAAGGCGTAACTGCTGACTTCTTGGGCTATCCCACCCACACTCCTTCTAAGATGAATGGTGGCGTATAAATTTCCTTTGGGATAGACTCATCCCAAGCCCAATATTGAGTCCTAATCTGTGACGTCACTTCTAACAAATCCTGTCAGCTGTGTATTCAGCGGTGCTAGAACTGACTTGAGGAATTTCGTTTTATTTTTACTTTACTTGACTTTTAACTGCTATAGAGTAAAATATAATTGTCTGATGATCGTGCATTTCTCGCATAGGTAAGCTAAATTATCTTTATGGGTTCTGAAGTGTTCTTCCCGTCTCTTTTGCTCCTTTCGTCGCCGCTTCCGTGACACCGTCCAATCTGATTGTAAAGGTGGAGACATAATTGGAGACATCCAGCAATTGTACCTTCCTCATTGGCCCGCTCCGCTACACTTACTGGAAAGAGGAGGGCAGTATGAAGAAGGCAGTGAGTGACCATCTGGGCTCTTATACTCAACGCGGACTGTGCTTCAAAAGTATGGAAGAGCCTTGTCCAAGGAGAGACTATCCTTGGAATGAGTCGGTTCCACTGTAGATGATCATCTGCCACCTGTTATACTCCTTATCCCTGAGTTGGAGTAGGCGTGGCTTTTGAGCACGGCACAGGACGGGTTTCTCGTGGGATACTTCAATTTGAAACAACTGCTATCTTGTTCTGTTATATGTAGACATGATTACGACTGCTCCAAAATGACAATATCTCACGAAAACCTGGGCCGCCGCCATTTTAAAATCAAGTACGCAGCCACGCCTACCCGATCTCAGGGATTTCGTGTATACCTGGCCGCCCTACACGGTGGTATAGGGCCATACTGCGCGCCTTATTCTTTATCGTTTGGTCAAGGTAATTCGCATGTAAATTGTCTTTTGTGCCCTACTAGCCTTTTCGCTATCGGGCGTGCCAATGTTCAACGGCTCCTTGTTGAGAAACTTCTAGTTGAATAGTTCCATAAGTTTCTCTTCTTACCTGTTCCGGAAGAAAATATCACCAAACAACAAATTTTTAAAATTAGCCTGTTCCTGTTTCTCGTCATTCATTGCGTCAACGTCGGTTTCCTTGGAACTTCTTGAGATTTCCATCTCTGATAAAAACAACGATGACTCATGAGTGTTGATCATATGCCTCATCGAAACACTGCCATTTATCCCAGTATTTAGATGCTCTTAACTTTTTACTTTTGTGAACTTCTTAGTACTTGATTACCATTGGTACAAAATGACGAATGTGCAGAGTTGATAATTAGGAATGCTCTAGCTTATACAAAACACTACGGGCAATTAGTATCAAGAAAGACGTTTGAAATGTCAGGTGAGAATCTTTGAGGGAGGAAGGAAAGACTGCAAGGCAGGCACGTCCTGCCGCTGGGGAAAATTTTTGGAAAATACGACCACCCCTCTCCCGTCCCGCCGTCTGATACTAGCTCCTTTCCGCATCCCCCTGCAATCATACCACCAACTTTTCCTCTTCCACGCTTCCTAGGTTTCCCAGGTTTAGGTTTCTCAGAAATTTTCCAGAATTTTCCACAAAGTTTTCCTATCGGAGGATGGGGAGAATGGAGACATAGCACTAGTAGAGTGCGAAAAAATGCGAAAAGTTGACAACCGGGAAAAGCATTGCGATCAATTTCTTCCCAAAGGCTGAAAAGGCATATACGACCCCTCCCCTTTACCAACAACAGGCACAACGCCCCACCCCCTCCACCTCTGGAGAAGAATCAGGAACAGGAAAAATCAACTATCAAAAAAAGTTCCCAGACCGTGTATTCCGTGCAGGAACCAAGTACGACCCCAGTCGCTAGGTTCCCCGACGTAGAACGTGCCCTGCCGCAAATGGTTCAGTATCGTCTATAGGGCTGATGAGATAGGATGCGCTACGCGTTGGACATTCACGTGAAGAAACTCCGCAGCAATCGGAATGCCTCGACCTCGGCTATCTGAACAATCACTCGGCGCCAATCTAAATGTCATTTCTGCTGTTATTAACAACGTGGCTGTAGCCGATATTCAAAGCCACTTCGGTGGTGTTCTCGTCTCCAGCGATCGTAGCCAGTATTCTATCTTGCAAATCTTGCAGGATAGAACACTGGCCAGGATCGCTGGTGACGAGTAGCTTTAGCACACTAAGCTACTTTCCCTATATAAGATAGAGCTACGCTTTTCTTTTTTTTTCTTGTCCATTCCATCATGGAAATGTAAAAGAACTCTGCCGGCTCGTTTGGATCCTTCTTTCGCAGATTGTTATGGCGCTCTGTTGACCCCTTATGCTAAACACTACCAGTTGCAGGTTAGCGACAATGAATACACTGCTGGTCTCACTTTCTGTTCTGTTAATAGCAGCTATTGAAATGGATCAAGTTTCGGCACGATACGTCCGAACGGGATACGTCAGGTGAGCCGCATTAACAATTACTATGCTAGAAATTGGCGATATACCCCTGCTAGACATGGCGCAGCTACAGTCTTGATCGCTGCGGGCGCTGGGGCAGTTCAGGGAGGTTGGATCTGACGCGGCACCTCCTTGTTCTCCACCAGTTGTGGTCGCTTGCCAGCTTATACAATCGGTGGAAAATAGGCCGACGTCACGCCAAACCATCCCGCCCCCTGAAATACCCCAGCGTCCGCAGCGAGCACGACTGTAAACGTACGTAGATAAAGTGTCCTCAAAAATGTACAAATAGGTGCTTTCAAGTGAAAAATCAAACCAGGAACTCTCGAGATGGATCCCTCGTTTCAATGTCTATAATGGAATAATTTCAGCGATCCAGTTGAACTACTTCTTCAAGATGCCTACTCGTCGTATGCGTAATCGAGACTACATCCCGTCAAGAGAACCATCATAGAACAGGTTAGAAATATTCTTTGTAATTCAAAATTTCCTTTCAATGCTGGCAATATTCAGAAGTAATGGAGAAATGTGGAATTAGCAGAAGACAAAACGCGCTCAACGCGGCTGCGTTTATACTTTGCGGCAGCGTAGCGTAGCGCTTCCAGCGTACGCCAGCGGCAGTGCCGGGGAGAGGATGCATATCGATCTAGCGTTCCCAGCGTCACCAGCGTAACGCTAGCGTTTGCAGCGGCAGGGGAGTAGAGACTATGGGAGAGCTGGAGGGTACAAAACACATCGATTGCGCGTACTCGCGACACATAGTTCTCATATGGCGTCCCGACATATAGTCTCTACTCCCCTGCCGGCTGCATAAGCGCAGCAAGAACGCTGGTGAACACGCCTGGCAACAAACGCTGGCGTTACGCTTGTGGACGCTGGAACTTCTAAGATCGATATGCCTCCTCTCTCCCGCACACTGGCCTGGGCGTACCTGAAGCGCTACGCTACGCTGCCGCAAAGTATACAACCAAGCCCAAGAGATGCCTATAGTGTAAACAACACCGTGATGTTCGAAGTGGTGGTGTCAGTACGGATGCCTCCCCCTCCCTCCATTGTGAAACGCGGAAAATTCCTTGATTTGGCCCGCAACTTGCTAACCACTTTCCGATCCATGAGGATTTTCTTTTTTCTTCGACATAACTTTGCTGTCGAAGCCAATGGGAGGGGGTCCCGTATTCCCTTTTTCACAATCAATAGCATTGGTTCAATAATATCAATTGATTGAAAGTCCGTCTTCCGAAAATTTATAGTTCTTCGGCATTCATCTCATTACGGAGTCGCCTAATATCGAGATGATCAAGCAAATGTTCGTATTCGATCTGGATGGTGGGACGCACCAGCGGGCTGGGTTTGGCGCGCTGCCAGCCGGTTCTTCCACCAGTTGTTTTCGCTTGCCCTCTCCAACAGTTGGCGGAGAATGGACTCTCCTAGCCCCGCAGCATACGCACGCAATCGAACAAGAATGGGATGAGGACGCGCACATGAATCAAATCGGATAACAGTTTCTGGTCGGAAGTTCTTGAGCTGGCGCTCATACGTTATGGGCAGGTCCACCAGCGACCATAACGTTTCAAGCGCCCGTCAGCGACAGCGACTAGAAAAGTATAGGTATCGATTTAGCGAACGGAGGCGTCCATCAGCATTTAGCAGCGTCTATCAGCGTCCGCCACGTCCAGTAGTAGAGAGTGTGTAGAAGTAGGAGGCAGTAGACTTCTGGCAGAATATCAGGGAAGTAGGAGGGAGCGGACTGCTGGATTAGGCGTCATGAAATTGCGGCGTGTGCAGCCGCACCGTGCTACTCTACAACATTTCGTAAGCACCTCTTCCACCCGCCCTCTTATTTTTCAACGAGTTGTTCGCGTTTTGTAGTGGGTCCGCTCTCTTGAACTTAAATGGCTGTGGTGAGGGGTGTACGTAGTCCGATCGTCACGAACAGGCCTGCCACCTGCATCTTAAAAAGTCGCAGCGTCGCAGACGCGAGCAGCTTTCCAGTGCACCACTCACTATCAGCCATCTACTGGCTACACAATAGCGTTTGCAACTGAACTGCATAATTCGTGTCTTTAGCAGTTGGTAAGAGCTCAGGCTCCACATGCCGCAATTTCATGATGCCTAATCCAGCTGTCTGCTCCCTACCACTTTCCTATACCAGCAATCTGCTACCCTCCTACTTCCCCATACTCCATGACGCTGTGGACGCTGCCGTCGCCCTTAGTTCGATATCTATCATATAACTATCGTCGTAGCTCGAAAGGCTAGTGGTCGCTGATGGAAGCTGCCGCAAAGTATGAACGCAGCCTGAGGTTGGGGCATCAAGATAAGGTAGGAAATAAGAGGAGCACAGATAAAAATCGGCACTGGCTTGACTGTGCATACGGTGGCAGGGCCTTGCCTGTCGGTGAGGCCCCAAATAACATTCATACATATGACATGGGCTAGGATCCTCGCAAATGAGCGTGCAGCGAATCTTCAGGTAATATCCTTCTTCTGCGCTCAGCTTCCAAACCATCTGGACACTAAGTCGCTCTGCAAAAGGTGCAATGCTCGCTTGGGCTCGAAAAATCTGACTCCGCTAATTCTACTAGTGCAGCAGAATGAGTGCGCAATCTTGGGTTATTTTGGTTTGTTCTAGAACGTCATCCAAGCAACTGCTAATCGTTCTTCCATCTGGCATGATGTGATGTTTTACGATTACCTCACGTACACTAATTTGGGGAGAATCCTGAGAGTGCGGTGCCGCAAGTTCTAGTTATTAACGGAAAGGAGCTGATGCAGATGATCAATCATGACATGCTTGCTTGCTCAGAACCCTTCTGCTCTGACGTGTGAGGGAAGCGGGCAAAACTACCTAGGTATAGCTGCCATTGAGGGAACTGGGTAATACGATATCACGAAGTGCCCAGTCATCAACCCACTTTCATTGACTTCACTTTAGATTGAGATCAGACTCCCGTACTCCGAACTTCTTAGGGGTATTTCAGAGAAAAAAACGGAAAGAGAGTGAAAACGGGTGCTCATAACTCTGACAAATTCCTTATCCCCATTACAGTACTTCTTTTCTAAACATTTCTTTCTAATTTCTGAGGGTACTCAAAAAATATCCGTGTAAAAGTGGAATTAGTGTAACGGGGATAAGGAATCTCGTCTAATGGTAAGCTTAAAAGAGGAAAATACGTGTTCGGAAACAGTTTCAAGCGGCCTTGGTCTTCTCGCAAATCCTGAATCCCAGCTTTGCAGAAGCTGTCCGCCGGAGGCACGGCCTCTGCTAGGAGGTAACTCTGTTCGCTGTAGCAGGCAACGCGCCTCAAGCGTGAGTGTTGGTACCAACGGCACCTAGTGGGCGTATGCCGGCTTACTGTAATATTTCCATTTATTTTCATCTGCGTTTTTCTAATCTTTCTCCCGTGTGTTTGCTCCCGCCTGCCTAAAGTGACGCTTGCACGTTCCCCCCCGACTTTTTTGGGATGTGCGACACCGCCTTAAGGTTAGGACAGATAATCTGACTGTAGCACAGAGAATTACCGTTCGCAGCCCTCAGAAATACTTTGAAGACAAGAACAACCTGTTGTCGATGAGGCAACGGCCCGCCCACTGCCCAAGGCAACACCCAAGTTTCATTTCTAAAAGCTCCCTGGTGGTAAGGCTGTCCCGCTACCAGCTCTCTCCACTTAGAAACGTAAGAATCTACTTTTATATAATGTCGCTACGCGCCTTTCTGTCTTTCGGAAATCGATACTACTATCGTCTTGATAATACGATGCAATTCATTTTCACCTAAGGCAGTTGGCACGGTGGTTTCCTACTTAGCCTATTTGCTATTTGCTACTAGGGCGCTGTATAGTGGGGAAAATGGCGAAAAAACGGAGTAAAACGCGTTCAAAAATCTTCGCGAAGAAAAAGCCTCCGTTCTCAGTGACATAAGTCGATTTCGGACGAGTTTCCCGTAGCATCTTACCAATCACCGCTACCGAAGATACGGCTGCATATGTGTACCCATGTATGCATGCAGCATCACGGCCGCTTCATACCAATCCCTTCGCTTCATAATTTGCTTAGCAAATGAATGAATACGAGCGTCAGGAACGGTCGTCCATTTGTGGGCGGGCGGGCGTGGCGGGCGTTTGGGACGTAAAGTTGTGGCTTGATAGGGGTCTTATAAGGGCCCTATCAAGCCACAAGTTCCTTCCTCAGGGGGAAACCCGCTATGCAGCGCCTGCCCAGGGTCGCGGAATTCTATCCTGCCAGGAGTATTGATCCTAGTCGTCTTGGGGATTTATCGTGCCAACTGCCTTTTGAGCGTTAAGACTTAATAGGGGTCCATGCAGGTAACAGGATTTCTTCATTCACTGAGCCGTTCATATTGGCCGACTGTACTTTCTATCTATATCTACAGATCTATGTATAGAGTGGCCGTTATGGCCCAAAGCACCACCCCTCCTGCACGTGCGCCTCAGAAGTGCACGATCCGCAGGGTTTGCTCTGTCTGTTACATTCGTCCATTACACGGCAATATGAGCATCAGTGAAAGACATCGATGACGTTTTCGTTATTGGTTTCCTCATCGGGGGGAGTTGGAAGATAGCGCTTGCTAAACCTCGAACTGCACAGGTGCGCGAGTGAGTGCGAAGGTTGTGACTGTGGGGAAGTCGCGAGAGTGAGCGGGAGTGTGGTGCGCATGTGCGTATGAGCCGAGTGGAGAGGTTTGAAAACGGTGTGCAGAGGCGAGTCCTACTGGTATAAGGAAACCGCGTCGAAGGGGAATAGTGATGTAGCTGGCGGACGCCAGAAGGTGTGCCAGCCGCGTGGCATAGTGGATGAGAGAGCGGAGCGGTGAGGGGTGGGTGCGCAAGTGGGTAGATTCAAGAACAGAGAAAAAGAAAGAACATGTACGCAGCGGTCGCAACGAATAGATAGGACGGTGGACCGAATTCTTGGGGAGAATGGATACGTCAATACACGTATTCATACATGGAGACCGTACTCGACACGCGAGGGATGCAGGTGGCTTTGGTAATGCCCATTTCTAAGATTGATGGGAGTGGACGGCAGCTGGAAAGGTTGAACAATATAGTCAAGAAGCTTACCACGTGCCCGCATGAGGCATGGCTGGATAGTTGTTCGTCACCGCCAGAATCTAAAAAAGAGACTACTGAACGTACTCCAGGGCCTTTATGGAGAAAAATGCGGGACGGAGGAACTGCAGCTTTACTGAATGCAATGATAAAAATATGCCAACTCGAGCGAACGGGTTATTTGATGAGAATTGCCAGGGATGCGGGCAAAAATATATCGGAGAGACAAAAAGGCCACTCTTCAAACGATTAGATGAACACCGCAGGGCCCTAAACAATCCGGCTTCATACCCGGATAACAGTCTCTCGAAGCACCGCACCACCATGCATATACACGAAGGTCCTCCG